AAGATGAAACTCGATACAAAAAAATAAAGTCAAAAGATACTATTGAAAAAAGATTTAATTCATATACTTATATATTTCGTATATATTCTCTATTATCTCTTTTTTTAAATAATCTTATAAGTCTTCAGTTCTCTTGAATTTTAACAATGCGCAGATTGCAATTTTATATATATTGTGCGATATTTCATTCTTCGTATCGTTGCAAAGATCATGGAAACAAGTAATCTTAATATACATATAGCCGCGAGACTATTATCAAAGGACATTAATAGGAGGTATAGGTAAACGAAAATTATAATGTGCCGTTGAGATTTTCGTAGTCTTTATAATCCTAACGCGGAAGTCCGTATTCCTCGCTATCCATTAATACACTAATTGACAAAAATCGTAGCGATTACTCTCGCCACGTGTATGTTCAGTCGCATTCAGTAGGTGCGATCATTTAAATCCGATGGACTTGAAATGGCGAGTTTATAAATGCGCAGCATCGAGCGATTACCGCTTGATTAATGGGTTTTGCGATTAGAATATTTATTATACATTTAATATTATCATGTTTAAATATTATATATTATATATTTGAATATATATTATTTAAATATTAAATATTATATATCTGAATATATATTATTTTGTTGAAATTGGTCAGTTTTTATATATACGTAGATATAAAACATTGTGAAATAAATCATTGTTTCTATATGAACAACAAAAATAAAAGTGGCACTTCGATTTTATTTTTGCTATAAAATATGTTTTCTCTACCTGATGCCGCATTATTCCAACGGTTTCTTCGCAGTTTGCACCGCCAAAGAAACGATCGTCTTTGCGTCGAGAAGAATTTTACGTAGTTTGCGATCGTAAAAGGCAAAACGGAAATACGTTTCTCGCGCTTAATACCGACGATGCAGAACTTTCGATTTCGTATCTCTCTCGGGTTTTCGTGATTTATGCAAATCTAGAGGCGTAGGAAAGACGTATAGGTGAGAGAGCAATACGGAGGATATATATGCGCAACAAACAACGGATTCGAGATCTATACGAAGTATGGACGGTGTGCTCGTGCAACGTATTTCTGGTTGTAAATCAACGCGTTATGCATAGAAATGGCGCGGTCGCCACTTCCGCCCGTTTAACATTCAGCGTTCCTCTTCACCCACTACTGAACTCCGACACTTCGAGTGACTTAAATCGCGCTCGAGGCTGCGCAAGGCTGCGTGTAATCGCCGTTTGTGATGAATGATTCCCGACCTGTACTGTGGACTATTTCTAGCATCTCGCGATTGGCGATGGAGCATATCGTTCTTTATTACTAATCGAGACGCGTTTAATTATCATGCAAAGGTGGCTTCGAGCTGCGTAAACTCGTTAAGTCCGCGTTATTAAAACGTTCAAACGTAACGTCATCTGATGAGAATTTATGCGAAAAAAGATGCAATATGTGAATCATTATTTAAAAAATTAATTTAAATTATATACTATGTAAATAGTAAATGAGTATATATTTTTTAGAAAATAATTCATGCCTAGTTGATTTCACGAATATATAAATATTTATCACGATATTTATATTTGAAAGAAAGTTACATTTTTTTCATTATAACTGGTTTACTTTTATTACCAATCGCTCGAGAGAAATTATCAAGAGAGTTTTGGCCTAATAAAATCAGCTGTTAAAATCTCGAAATTTAATAAATCAATCTCGCAGTTCCAATCATTTGGAATGATTGGAAGAAAGAGAAAACAGATTAAAATTTTTTTCACAAGAAAAAGAGATATCGTGGTATAAGTTTGGCCGATAAAATCGTCGTAATTTCGTTCGGATCACCACCGGAACTGTAGCCGATCCAACAACTTTTTTCGAAGCCGGCACTCCCACGTTTCGACGAAGTCACGAGCGCGCTTTCACGGCGTATTTGCGCGGCCGTAAAGATACGTCCCTTTTCCTTTTTCCGTCGAGCGACTTGTCCGAGCGCATAAAGTCGGGTCTATAAACAGTTGATAGACAACTCGATCCGGCGCAACGCGAAAGAAAACGATTCTGAGCGAAAGGTCAAAGGGGTCCAATCGTGGCGCGGTTCTCCCCGGGAAATCTTCCCCTTAAAAAGCACTAATAAAGTTGCGTCAAGTAATACCAGATGTTGCGGTTATCCCGCTTGTGTAAATTTCAATAATAACAGGACGATGGCTGAATGAAGGAGGCGTAATGTTGAACTTAAAGTCGAGATTAGACGTATAATCCATCGGCTTCCACCACTGCCTGTACCAAACTGGTATCTTCTCCCGTACGTAAACATTCATTATCGATTAGCAGTGACGGCGAGATTATTTCTTCGCAATGCGAAACGAAATAGGATACAAAGTAACATGCGACATTCAGTGAGGAAAGGTCAACATATGTTGGCGTACGTTAGGCGAAACATGCAAATTGATTATTCTATTCATTCATTTCTTGTCGTCAACACGCGTGATAAATATACAAACATGTAGTTGAAAATAAATTAATATTTCTATTAGAGAGAAAATTTGTATAAAATGATAGATAAAAAAAAGTTGAGAGACTACTTTCACAAAATAAAGTAATGAAAATCAAATTCTTGCGAAGTAGAGATTTCGTGCTTTGTCAACAAGAAATATCTCGCGAGTTGCAGATTCAAAATTTGTAAGTTTAGTTTTCAAGAAAAATTATTCTCATATACAACTAATTATATTTTCGTGTAATCCGCGTACGATTAAGCACTCACGTGTGTGCATTCATGATTATCTAACGATTAATCCGCCCAACGCGTATTCGTATATCCGACTAATGCAATGCCTTGACATGAATGCAAGATAATATGCAACAAACGGGGTTGTGTCGGATTAAGAGTGGACTTCGTTAGCGAGCAATTGTAACTGAACACATGATCAACGCGCGAAATATTATAAAATTAGATAAAATTTTATATTTAAGAAAAGTTATAAAAGATTAAAAATTTTCTCATAAAACAAAAATTCTTTTATATATTAATGATTGACGGATATTACAGCTGCAGTTATTCAAATTATTTCACTATTTATTTAATGCATCTTGCAATATTTTAAGTCTTTTTCTATCTCTTTATTTACTATTTGATCATTTTTTTAATAATATATTTCAATTTTTACTTCTCCACACGCACGAGCGTGAATCCTCGTCGACGTAATTTCGTCCCACGCCAGTCCGACGTTTGTGCATTTGTAATCATGCAGCTGCATTGAAAAAAGTCAGACGTTATGCTAATGCACGAGCGAGGTATTATTCACGGTCGTATGTCACTGACCACCTACCCGCGCTGAATGTAACTGAATAATAGTATATTGCTCGTCTCTCTCCTATCGCGCATTTTCTTCTTCTCTTTTCGCGCGAACCAAGATTAGATTTTCTTTTCTTCGTTGCTGCCCATTTCGTTGGTCAGCTATAGTAGGAATCATCGCGAGTTTTGTATATGTTTTTGCGCGAGCGCGTATAGACACTCTCGAAATATTACCGGGATATTAAATTATAATTCGTGGCACGTTCTACCGCATTACTTCACTACTTTCCTTTACTATTTATAGGCCGACACTCGTTTCGCTCGTTCGTTCCTATTTCTTGGCAGCGAGAGCTACGAACCGACGCCGAGAAAGCACGCTGACACGCTCGCGAGTGCGATTACGGTCGTGAGAAATCGTTGTGGCAGATGCAACAACGTATGTAGATACGTGCCGTGTCAAGGAAATTGAAACGTTTCTATGCAAATTATGGGAGACCGTGTTTTCCTGCGCGTTGAGTAATATCTGACGAACGGTCCTTGCTAGATCATCACGATATTGTATCGTCGTAGTAAATCGTTATTTATGATGAAATGTCTATCAGCTCATAAATAACTTTCTCACTTTTTCTTAATATTTTCTTGAAAAAAAATATTACGTATAATATACATATAATATTAATATTAATAATATTATATATTATTAATTGTAATATCTATAGATTACTTAAATTTATATAATATCTTTGCGACTCGTGTCGGCATTGATCAAGCTTAAGTGCAGTTTACTTCATCCTCTCTGTCTTCCAGAGAGTACAAATTTACTTTCATTGTTAAACGGCCACTGCCACCCACAACCATCTGTTACTTTCTTTCCGCGGGCTTAGGTTAAATCACCACCGTACCTACTACAACTTGGTACATATGTACGCAGCTAGGCGTGGATAAATAAACTTCAACTCGCGCATGCATTGTTCGCTTCCTCAATTCTCGAGAAAATCTTGGCGATGTCGTAAGCGATATTCGAACCGCGAAGTAAATAATAGAAAATACGATTTTGAATTTTCAATTAATCTCGTTATTTTTCAATTGTTAGGTTAATATAAAAACTGACATGTGTTAAACAAATATATTATAAATAATAATTCTAGATTTAATTGAACAAAAGAAATTTTTGAATCTCTCATAATTGTGACGAATCTCTTTCCAATTAATTCATCGATTGTAACGCTGCGTATATTCTTACGCAACCCGCGATTTAATTCCAGATCAAATTTCCGATACAATTCCGCGAGCATAATCGATCATCGTACACGACGTGATCGATACGTCGAGTCGAAGACCAGAATACGATGAGTAATTAATTATCTAGCCTCTTTGTGCGATTTGTCATTAATCGTTTTTTTTTTTCATTAAATTTCTCTTTTTAATCGTTTATTTTAGAAACCTAAAATATTAAATTTAATTTTATAATATCTTTATTAATGAATAAAAATTATCTTTTAGAAATAATTAATATCATATAATAAAACAAAACAGAATAATAATTATTAAAAATATATAATTCTTCTCAAATTTTTCTTATATGCATATACATTTTAAATCAGTTTTCACGTGAAATATTTATTTAGAGAGAATCTTTGTCAAATTCCATCTTTTATTAAATTTATAAGGATGAGCGTAAGAATATAAGCAAATGTACAATATAGTATCTGAAGTTGTACTCACCGGGATAGCCTTCCGGGATGACTATTTCCGGTCCCACTTTAACGTCGTGACGGTAACGATGCATCAGCAGCGTAGCCGTGACTCTGAGTGATCTCTGCTGTTGCTTGTACAGCAGTATCGGCCTTCCACCGGCACCTTCGACCCTGACCACTCTCGGCAGTGAGAATCTGTCCAGGAACTCGCGCAGCGGCATGAAGCCACCGCCGGAACCCGCGGCCTCGGCAGTCGCCTCTCTCGAGCTCGGCAACGAGTCCTCACCGGTTCCGGTGGCTTCGCCGCTCGATAGTGTCGAAAATTCACCAGTCGATGACATCGCGGCACACAGTCTTTCACAGTATATCTTATAAAAATCCTCTTTACGGTCCCTCTTACATTTCGGTGCGCGCGATATACGTTTTCACGTTGCATCCAAATTGCCTGTATGAAGTTAGCCCCCCATTTTTCAAATTTTAAAATTTTAAAGGTTGTTCCAGGTTGTTCTAGACTTGTTCTAAATTGTTCCAAAAGATCAAATTTAAAAAATAAAAATTTTCGCGAAAAATGGAAAAAAACGATTTTTTGACCTGGCCCCCCATTTTTCGAAAATCGAACTTTTAAAGGTTGTTCCAGATTGTTCTAGTTGTTCTAAACATTGTTCCAAAGTGATAATTCCCTAAACAAAATATTTCACGAGATATAATAAAAATAGTTTCGTGCGCTAAAACAGTATTTTTACGTTTTCGGCTATAGTTATTATCTTTTAAACACCAAACTGTATATTTTAGCTAAAAACGAACAGAACAACCTGGAACAACTCTCAATTTTGCTAGAACATAATTTTAAAGAGTACTTTACTCTTGGAAATAAACATATTTTTGTTGTTTTTCGTGTTTTTCGACCGATAACGACGTGACAGCGATCCCAAACTATAGAACAATTACGTACTGGCATAGAACAACTTGGAACAACTCTCAGTTTTGCTAGAACATTATTTTAAAGGGTACTTTACTCTTGGAAATAAACACATTTTTTTGTTTTTTCATCTTTTTTGCCCGCTAAAGTCGCGATAGCGGTCCCAAACTATAGAACAATTACGTACTGGCATAGAACAACTTGGAACAACTCTCAGTTTTGCTGGAACATTATTTTAAAGAGTACTTTACTCATGGAAATAAACACATTTTTTTTGTTTTTTCATCTTTTTTTTTTTGCTCGCTAAAGTCGCGATAGCGGTCTCAAACTATAGAACAATTACGTACTGGCATAGAACAACTTGGAACAACTCTCAATTTTGCTAGAACATAATTTTAAAGAGTACTTTACTCTTGGAAATAAACACATTTTTCTTGTTTTTTTGTGTTTTTCGACCGATAACGTCGCGACAGCGGTCTCAAACTATAGAACAATTACGTACTGGCATAGAACAACTTGGAACAACTCTCAGTTTTGCTGGAACATTATTTTAAAGAGTACTTTACTCTTGGAAATAAACACATTTTTTTGTTTTTTCATCTTTTTTGCCCGCTAAAGTCGCGATAGCGGTCCCAAACTATAGAACAATTACGTACTGGCATAGAACAACTTGGAACAACTCTCAATTTTGCTAGAACATAATTTTAAAGAGTACTTTACTCTTGGAAATAAACACATTTTTCTTGTTTTTTTTTTGTGTTTTCGACCGATAACGACGTGACAGCGATCCCAAACTATAGAACAATTACGTACTGGCATAGAACAACTTGGAACAACTCTCAGTTTTGCTAGAACATTTTTAAAGGGTACTTTACTCTTGGAAATAAACACATTTTTTTGTTTTTTTCATCTTTTTCGCCGCTAAAGTCGCGATAGCGGTCCCAAACTATAGAACAATTACGTACTGGCATAGAACAACTTGGAACAACTCTCAGTTTTGCTGAACATAATTTTAAAGAGTACTTTACTCTTGGAAATAAACACATTTTTCTTGTTTTTTCGTGTTTTTCGACCGATAACGTCGCGACAGCGGTCCCAAACTATAGAACAATTACACTGGCATAGAACAACTTGGAACAACTCTCAGTTTTGCTAGAACATTATTTTAAAGGGTACTTTACTCTTGGAAATAAACACATTTTTTTTGTTTTTTCATCTTTTTTGCCCGCTAAAGTCGCGATAGCGGTCCCAAACTATAGAACAATTACGTACTGGCATAGAACAACTTGGAACAACTCTCAATTTTGCTAGAACATAATTTTAAAGAGTACTTTACTCTTGGAAATAAACACATTTTTCTTGTTTTTTTGTGTTTTTCGACCGATAACGTCGCGACAGCGGTCCCAAACTATAGAACAATTACGTACTGGCATAGAACAACTTGGAACAACTCTCAGTTTTGCTGGAACATTATTTTAAAGAGTACTTTACTCTGGAAATAAACACATTTTTTTGTTTTTTCATCTTTTTTGCCCGCTAAAGTCGCGATAGCGGTCCCAAACTATAGAACAATTACGTACTGGCATAGAACAACTTAGAACAACTCTCAATTTTGCTAGAACATAATTTTAAAGAGTACTTTACTCTTGGAAATAAACACATTTTTCTTGTTTTTTTGTGTTTTTCGACCGATAACGTCGCGACAGCGGTCCCAAACTATAGAACAATTACGTACTGGCATAGAACAACTTGGAACAACTCTCAATTTTGCTAGAACATAATTTTAAAGAGTACTTTACTCTTGGAAATAAACACATTTTTTCTTGTTTTTTTTGTGTTTTTCGACCGATAACGTCGCGACAGCGGTCCCAAACTATAGAACAATTACGTACTGGCATAGAACAACTTGGAACAACTCTCAATTTTGCTAGAACATAATTTTAAAGAGTACTTTACTCTTGGAAATAAACACATTTTTCTTGTTTTTTTGTGTTTTTTCGACCGATAACGTCGCGACAGCGGTCCCAAACTATAGAACAATTACGTACTGGCATAGAACAACTTGGAACAACTCTCAGTTTTGCTGGAACATTATTTTAAAGAGTACTTTACTCTTGGAAATAAACACATTTTTTTTGTTTTTTCATCTTTTTGCTCGCTAAAGTCGCGATAGCGGTCCCAAACTATAGAACAATTACGTACTGGCATAGAACAACTTGGAACAACTCTCAATTTTGCTAGAACATAATTTTAAAGAGTACTTTACTCTTGGAAATAAACACATTTTTCTTGTTTTTTTGTGTTTTTCGACCGATAACGACGTCACAGCGATCCCAAACTATAGAACAATTACGTACTGGCATAGAACAACTTGGAACAACTCTCAGTTTTGCTAGAACATTATTTTAAAGGGTACTTTACTCTTGGAAATAAACACATTTTTTTTGTTTTTTCATCTTTTTTGCCCGCTAAAGTCGCGATAGCGGTCCCAAACTATAGAACAATTACGTACTGGCATAGAACAACTTGGAACAACTCTCAGTTTTGCTAGAACATAATTTTAAAGAGTACTTTACTCTTGGAAATAAACACATTTTTCTTGTTTTTTCGTGTTTTCGACCGATAACGTCGCGACAGCGGTCCCAAACTATAGAACAATTACGTACTGGCATAGAACAACTTGGAACAACTCTCAGTTTTGCTAGAACATCATTTTAAAGGGTACTTTACTCTTGGAAATAAACACATTTTTTTGGTTTTTTCATCTTTTTTGCCCGCTAAAGTCGCGATAGCGGTCCCAAACTATAGAACAATTACGTACTGGCATAGAACAACTTGGAACAACTCTCAATTTTGCTAGAACATAATTTTAAAGAGTACTTTACTCTTGGAAATAAACACATTTTTCTTGTTTTTTTGTGTTTTTCGACCGATAACGACGTGACAGCGATCCCAAACTATAGAACAATTACGTACTGGCATAGAACAACTTGGAACAACTCTCAGTTTTGCTAGAACATTATTTTAAAGGGTACTTTACTCTTGGAAATAAACACATTTTTTTGTTTTTTCATCTTTTTTGCCCGCTAAAGTCGCGATAGCGGTCCCAAACTATAGAACAATTACGTACTGGCATAGAACAACTTGGAACAACTCTCAATTTTGCTAGAACATAATTTTAAAGAGTACTTTACTCTTGGAAATAAACACATTTTTCTTGTTTTTTTGTGTTTTTCGACCGATAACGTCGCGACAGCGGTCCCAAACTATAGAACAATTACGTACTGGCATAGAACAACTTGGAACAACTCTCAGTTTTGCTGGAACATTATTTTAAAGAGTACTTTACTCTTGGAAATAAACACATTTTTTTTGTTTTTTCATCTTTTTTGCCCGCTAAAGTCGCGATAGCGGTCCCAAACTATAGAACAATTACGTACTGGCATAGAACAACTTGGAACAACTCTCAATTTTGCTAGGACATAATTTTAAAGAGTACTTTACTCTTGGAAATAAACACATTTTTCTTGTTTTTTGTGTTTTTTCGACCGATAACGACGTGACAGCGATCCCAAACTATAGAACAATTACGTACTGGCATAGAACAACTTGGAACAACTCTCAGTTTTGCTAGAACATAATTTTAAAGGGTACTTTACTCTTGGAAATAAACACATTTTTTTTGTTTTTTCATCTTTTTTGCCCGCTAAAGTCGCGATAGCGGTCCCAAACTATAGAACAATTACGTACTGGCATAGAACAACTTGGAACAACTCTCAGTTTTGCTGGAACATTATTTTAAAGAGTACTTTACTCTTGGAAATAAACACATTTTTTTTGTTTTTTCATTTTTTTTTGCTCGCTAAAGTCGCGATAGCAGTCCCAAACTATAGAACAATTACGTACTGGCATAGAACAACTTGGAACAACTCTCAATTTTGCTAGAACATAATTTTAAAGAGTACTTTACTCTTGGAAATAAACACATTTTTCTTGTTTTTTCGTGTTTTTCGACCGATAACGTCGCGACAGCGGTCCCAAACTATAGAACAATTACGTACTGGCATAGAACAACTTGGAACAACTCTCAGTTTTGCTAGAACATTATTTTAAAGGGTACTTTACTCTTGGAAATAAACACATTTTTTTTTTTTTTTTCATCTTTTTTGCTCGCTAAAGTCGCGATAGCGGTCCCAAACTATAGAACAATTATGTACTGGCATAGAACAACTTGGAACAACTCTCAATTTTGCTAGAACATAATTTTAAAGAGTACTTTACTCTTGGAAATAAACACATTTTTGTTGTTTTTGTGTTTTTCGACCGATAACGTCGCGACAGCGGTCCCAAACTATAGAACAATTACGTACTGGCATAGAACAACTTGAAACAACTCTCAGTTTTGCTAAAACATCATTTTAAAGGGTACTTTACTCTTGGAAATGAAC